TTTAGCTGGACAGTTACGACTCATGACTCGTATAAGTAAGTATATACAGGGGAAGCGCACTGTTGATTGCCGATTTCCAGCCCAAGACTGTTGGGGCAGACTGTTTCCATTTCAGCACAATGTCTGTCTTCTAGCATAATAGAGAACGTAGAAGACAAACAATTTGTTATGCTTGGATGTCTGCACAAGGTCCAGGAGACCCAACAACATAATCAGAGGATCCATGGGAATAGACGATTGACTAACAGTGTTAATAGTATCTCGCATCCCAGCCCAATAGGGGAGAAGCTTGGAGCACTCTCAGAACATATGGTGAAATGTGCCCACCTCCACACCGCAGCGAGGACAAGTCGATGGCTGATCTGTCAGGGTATATCACAGCCAATTGTCGCGGGGTGTAATATACTCCTATGGATACATTTTAGTTGTATGAAGTGGTCCCTGGCTGAGATCATAGTAGGGAGGCACTGTACAAGACAATTCTCCCAGTCATCTTCCGACACAGAAGGGAGGTCGGTGTGCCATTTATCATAAAGCAACTACATTCTAGGGGTAGATAGAGGTAGCAACGGGGAATGGAGAGAGGACAACGGTTTTGGCAAGTCCTCCATTAACAACAATTGTTCTAAAGGGTCAGTCTGAATGGTAGGTGGAGAAGGAAATTTAGCAGCCACCGCATGACACAATTGTAAAAATCGGAAAAATGTCTGGTTTGGCCGTGGCTCTTTACCACGTGATCGGCAGTGTCCAATCACAAATGTAAACATAGAGCGGTAACTTGCTGTTAACCAGCTTCCTCTTCTCACACACAGTTCTTGTGTGTGGAGAGGAATCTTCAGAAACCTAACAGTGAGTTCCCGTTCTGTACACAGCACAGTGCACAAACTCACAGTTCTCCTGTCAGTGCCCACCATCAGTGCACCTGTCGTCCATCAGCAGTGCAGCTGTCGCACATCGTCCATCAGTGCCGCCATCAGCAGAGTACCGTGACACAGCCACCATCAGCAGTGTATCCATCACACAGCCACCATCAGCAGAGTACCATCACACAGTCACCATCAACAGGGTACCCGTCCTACAGCCACCATCAGCAGTCTACCTGTCCCAGAGCCAGTCATGTCAAAAAGAATTTACACTAGTGAGGAGGCATTCAAAATCCTCTGTATGACGAATGAGAACAGAGAGCTCTCACTGTTCGATTCAGTGTATAAACCCATCGAAAGTAATGGATAAGAAACTGAATCAGAGGAGGAAAGGGTCCTTCCTAAAAGGATACGTCGCTTTTGAAAACCAGGCAGTCATCAGCAGTGCTATACACCCCAATGGTCAATCGGCAAATGCCAGTGGCGCTAGACCCATGGATGAAAGACCCAGTACCAACACTGGAATATCCCATCAAAACCCAAGAATCGGGGCCCAAACGTACCTCCCAGACACTCTTGCCAACCCATAATGGCTGCCCTTTCTCCCGTTCACCGCACAACCAGGTGTGCAGGCCAACACTGAAAGTTTTTCAGAAATTGATCTTTTTTTTATATTTTTTTCCCAGGTCATGCTATGAGATCATGCGATTCCTTCATTTCAGGGACAATACCTAGTGTCCTCCCTGCTATCATCCCAACTATGACAAATTGTACAAAATTCACCCACTTCTTAATTTTTTTCCCCAAAGATTTGCTGATCTTTATGTCTCTGACCAAAACGTGTGGACAAATCCCTTGTCCACTTCACTGGCCAGTTGGGAATCAAGCAAAATATTCCAAGAAAAAGGGCCAGACATGGAGTAAAGCTCTACAAGCTTTGTGAAAGACTCACTGGATATTTGTATGCATTCCATGCGTACGAAGGCAAAGATTCCCAGCACCAGCTACCTGAGTGGACCAACCTACTTCGGCACAAGTGAAAAAATTGTCTGGGATCTGGTTTTTCCACTTTTCCAAAAAGGTTATCACATCTACCTATACAATTTCTATATACCAGTCTGCCCCATTTTCCAACAACTGTACCGTGAAAAAAAACCTTGGCCTGCGGTACATCCTGAAAAAACAGGAAAGGCTTCCCTTGCTCTAGTGAACACCAGGCTGCAAAGGGGGGAGTCAGCAAGTCTAAAACCACAAAATGCTGGCCCTGAAGTGGAAGGATAAGAGACGTTTACATCCTGTCCACAATGATATTTTGGTGGAAATTACTGGAAGGCACTGTCCCATTCAAAATCCTGTATGCATCCAAGATTATAATCTCTTAATCTCTACATGGGTGGGTGGATTTCAATAATGAGATGCTACAGCCCTATTTTAGCAACAAGAAGGTCCCAATTCAGGTATTAAAAAGTTGCAATTTATCTTATTCATTTGGCTGTCTATAATGCCTATGTCACCTACACCAAATTAACAGACAGACCCACTGCCTTCCTTAATGTATAGAAGAAATCGTCACGTCCCTTAATCTACCAGCAAGGATCCCCCCAGAAAGCATTTGTTCCAATTCTGTGAGCAGACTTCATGAATGCTATTTTCATGAGCATTCCACCAACAAAAGCAGGCCGAAGACACCAAAAAAAGTCGGGTATGCAGCACAGGGGGAGTTAGAAGAGACCCGATTTTTCATTGTCCCCAGTGTCCCTCCCAACCAGGCCTATGCATCGGAGACAGCGTCCGACGTTTTCACACGTCACAAAAATATTAGCCCATATTTCTAACAGCCTGCAATTTCCCCGTTTTCAAAACCTGTTGATCATTTGCCTGCTGCCTCAACCAACCATGCTACTGTTTTTTTTTTTTTTTTTTTTTTTTTTTTAATTTATTTTTTTTACCTTAACTGACCCTGGCCTATTTGACTATACCTCTGCCTGCCGTCTGCATTGTTTATCCACCACGTTTCTGCCTTCCACCTGAACTGATCTTGGCCTGTTTATTGACTATCCTTCTGCCTGCCGTCTGGATTATCAACCACGTTTATGCCTTCTTCCTGGACTGACCTCTACCTGTTAATCGACCTTTTTTTGTCTGCTGTTTGGATTGATCTTTTGCTCTTTTACTGTAGTGGCGGGATTCAAGATAACACAAGAGTCTCGCATATGTGAGGTGCTTCAGAGTACAGTTCTGATTAGAGAACGTTTTTGGTTTTCTCCAGGTTTTGTAATTCCCAGAAGAGGGTCTGTTTGTTCTACCTGACCGAGGCCCTAAGCCTGATGTTGCTGCCTGGACCAATAGTTGGCTGTGCTGACCATATCTCTGCCTACTGCCTGTACTGACTCAGGACCTTTTTTATGGGCATGTTCCTGCTTGCTGCTTGGACAAATACTTTGGCTGTGCTGACCATATCTCTGCCTGCTGCCTGTACTGACTCAGGACTTTGTATGGACCTTGTTCCTGCCTGCTGCCTGGATCTGCTGCCTGTACTGACCTGGACTAAGGCTCTCCTCAAACCACAGGTAATCTTTTGTTTACATGTTTTCTATACAGTGTTTGTGTTACACTTCAAGTAGTAGGAATGTGTGAGCACACTAAATTTAAACAAAGAACATCAGCAGCTGTGCACAAAGGTAACCAAATAAAACCTTAAACAGTGTAAAAAAGAGGGTGCAGCACTAAAAATTATAAAGATTCTAAAAGGTGTACAGTCCATATAATGAACAGAAACGACATAAAAAGTTAATTGGCAGTTCAAAAAGGTAACTTTTTAGGGGAACTCTGGTTATCCCTGGATCATCAATTAAAGCCCCAAGACCCATCCACCCTGAGAGGGAGTTACTCCTGCACTTGACCTGGCCCTGATGATCCCTTGATGACATCAGGATATATTTCTTAATGCGTATTTTAACTGCGTGTCCGGTGAGTGCACATTTCTTCCATTACTGAATGCACAAGCACCGACTTATCAAGAAAACTTGAATTTTAGGAGCACTTAAAGTCACCTTTTTTGAACTGCCAATTATTTACTTTTTATGACGTTTCTATTCATTATATGGACTGTACACCTATTAGAATCTTTTATAATTTTTAGCGTTGCACCCTCTTTTAGATTGTATTACACTTGTTGCAATGTTGGGCACATAATCGGTTCAGTGCAAAAAGAGGCCACGGAGTCCACCAAAAGTGTAAAATATGGAGAGGAGCCACCAGATGTACCTGGTAGGATGTTGCCTAAAAACAATACAAGAAAAACCAAAAGAAAATAGGCTACAGACCTGTAAGGCTTCCCTCAAACCAGTATTTATTGTATATCAAGAGAACATAAATAGTAAAAACATTGCATCGGAGATACAGGAACCAATCCCGACCATGTCACTCCACCCGCACAGGAGGGAACCTCCCAAAATGTGCACCCCCAAGATGGCAACGAGGTAAGCTACCTAATGCGCCCCGGTGCGAAGCTGCAACACCCGCACCACCCCTCCAATCCAACACCCTCCCCCACCACCACCGCACACTACTGCCACCAACCTCCCTCCCCAAAGGAAACTGAGGTATAACGCTTGTCAACTAAATCCTCCCCCTCCCCCCCCCCCCCCCCCCCCCCCCCCCCCCCCCCGTGCCCATCTGATATAATTGCTTGCCTAACAACACACTACATGGACATCACAGATATCATGGCAGCCAGTCCGGTGACTGCAGTCAATGAGGGCCGATCTAAACACCAGGTGGCCACTGGATGGTGAATGGTGGACTGAACCTTGTAGTTGAGACCTGATTGCAGGATACCATGTAAAGGTGGGCTAATGCCTCATAATCTGTTGTAGCCTTTTTTTTTTTTTTTTTTTTTTTTTTTTTTTTTTTTTTTTTTTTTTTTTTTAAATGTGCTGACTAAAAATCACCAAAACAAAGCTCTGTGTGAAAAGGACAAAAAATTTCATATGGGTACAGTGTTGCATGTCAGTCAAAGTATGACAGTGCTGAAAGCTGAAAATTGTTCTGGGTAGGAAGGGGGGTATAAGTGCCCATTAGGCAAGTGGTTTAATATTTGGTGTTTTTTTTTTTTTTTTTTTTTTTTTTTCGCAGAGAGAACTTGCCCAGCCACTTTAAATTTAAGGACTACTGCCCACAAGTTTTTCGAAATCTCAGAGAGCGGTTTGGAATAGATGACCAGGATTACCAGGTAAAGCCCTGACAGAGTTGAATTTGCTTAAATCAAGGCAGATAAACAAAAATTAATGCATTTCTGTGTTCATTAACGTGATTGTAAACCCATATTGTTTTTTTTTAACTAACATGTCATACTTACCTGCTTTTGTGCAGTGGTTTTGCACAGAGCAGCCCGATCTTCCTCTTCTTGGGTCCCCCGCTGGCTTCTTCCTCGAGTGACCAACATAACAAGCAGCTTGCTATAGGGACTCTCATGTGGGCCCACTCCTGAGCTGGTTCTGTGTGTATATGCTCTCAGCTTTGCCACTCGCTCCCTGCACGCCGTCAGTGTATGAAACCAGCGAGAATCATTGGCTCTGAGCCTACGAGTTGGGAGAGAGCCACTGCTTTTGTGCACAGTACAGGATAGAGATCGGGCTCATGAAGTATAAAGGGAGAGAGCTGCACAGAGAGGTTGCATTAAAAAGAATGCATTAAGGTAAAAGACCTTTAGCCTTTAGAATCACTTTAATCTATCATCAAATGCATTTTCTATCATTCAAACAGCGTACTGTATCTGAGTCGATTTTGGCCTTTTGCAAAATCCCCTGTAAGAAAGAAGCCTGGATTGAGAAAAAATAGCACAAGGAGTCAAAAAATTATGCTTCCTTGTTTATGTGCGTACCAGGAACATGTTGATAGTATGAGAGGGCAAAGTTGCAGAGAGAATAGCTTGTAGGTTCCAGTTCTTTTAACCGTTTAATCACATAATAAGCTCTTTACTCCTCCTAAGTGTTTTGCCCAGCATTCTTTGGGGAGAGGTACTGAATGAAATGGGTTTGTCCTTGTCATCAACCCAGCCATTTCCTGCCTTAAAAAGAGCAGGATGGATTTTTTTTTTTTTTTTCCCCCCCCTCTCCTCTTTCCCTCTCTCTCTCTCTCCCCCTCACCCCTCCCCCCCCTCCCCCCCCCCCCTCCTTCCCCCCCCCCTCCTCTCTCTCTCCTCCCCCCCCCCTCCTCTCTCCCCCCCCCCTCCCTCTCTTCCCCCCCCCCCTCTCTTCCCCCCCCTCCTCTCTTCCCCCCCCCCTCCTCGCTCCCTCCCGGACCCGTCTCCCCCCCTCCTCTCCCCCCCCCTCCTCCCCCCCCCCCCTCCTCTCCCCCCCCCTCCTCTCTTCCCCCCCCCCCTCTCCTCCCCCCCCTCACCTCTCTCCCCCCCCCTCCTCCTCTCTCCTCCTTCCCCCCTCCTCTCTCCCCCCCCCTCCCCTCCTCATAAGCTCCCCCCCCCCCCCCCCTCTCTTCCCCCTCCTCCTCTCTTCCCCCCTCCTCTCTTCCCCTCCTCCTCTCTTCCCCTCCTCCTCCTCCACCCCATCTCTCCCTCCTCCTCCTCCTCCCCTCCTCCTCCTCTCTTCCCCCCCCCCCTCTTCCCCCCCCTCTTCTCCTTCCCTCCTCTCTTCATGCTGTATAATGAAAAAAGGGTGCTGTGCATCTTCTAAAGTATGGTATGTATGTGATGTCCCCATCCTGTAGTGAATAAGTGACATAAGAGAGAGTCAATATGGTTGTCACGAAGTATAACAGATATTGGCGGCCATAAGGCCGTAATTCCTTTTCTGTATTTGCAGTGTTCCACTCACCACCTGTTCAATGAGTAAAGAACGATGCATAATCTCTCTCGTTATTGGATTCAGGCCCGGAGTCCTGGAGGCAGCTGCCAGCATCGGGACTATGGACAAACGGGCTCCGCTTCCATCCCGGGACACGTGCAGATTGATGAATGCCCAGCACGAGTGTGTATTTCCGTGTCACCTGCAGGACTAGGTGTATGGCACCAATGCGTCTGACCGGTAGTGATGTCACTGACGTGTGATGTCAATGCATTTCGCCAATGGGCGTATCTTACTCAGCTTCGTCAGGACCAATGGAATGCACAGCTCGAGACTCAATTTATATCAGGCGGATCCCTGCCCATATATGCAAATAAACATCAGGCAAAGCATCTCATTGGAAAAAAGATAAAAAAGCGGACATTATAGAAAAACTTATGAATACTTGGCAATAATCACAGTGGGAAATACAATAATTGTTCACCTCAGCAATACCCATAGAGAAAACTGATTTAGAAATACCTTATTCACACAGGGGAAAGTACCATATAGTCCAATGTAATTTCCTATACTTCCCTATTGATGCAAAAACACTTGGAGATCAAGTTTCACATTTAACCCCTTAGGAGTATCAAGCTTATATATAATGTACAGCGCTGAGCGAACTGTTGCTGCTTTATAAATACTGTATTATGATAATCATAATATATCCAGTGTTTTTCACATTTTAGAAGCTCTTTATCAAAATCACCCTTTCTCTGCTGGAAATTAAGGGCATAGATTCCTTTAACCTTAGTATTCTCTAGTTTACCTCCATGATGTCTTGAATAGTGTTGAGCTAAATTACTTTCTGGTTCATTGGATTTGATGTCCCTAAGATGTTCTCCTATGCGTACTTTAGGTTGCCTTTTTAGTTTTGCCAATGTACATTTTTTTTACATGGACAGGTTAACATATACAATACTCTAGATGTAGAACAGTTTGAGGCTGTGAATTTTATATTGGGCCTTATTGTCAGAATCAGAAAAGCTATCTGTCCGATCCACAAATTTACAGATCTGACATCTTCCACAGCTAAACATCCCTTTGGTACGTGAGGTAAGCCAAGTAGATTATTTTACGGGTTGGTAGTCTGAATAAGTAAATCACCAAGGTTTGGTGCTCTCTTAGCTACCATTTGCGGAGGATCTCCTACAGTTCTACCCAAAATTGGGACACTGTGTAAGGATCTTTCAATGTTTTTTTTTTTTTCCAAAACCTTTTTAACTTTCTTCCGTTGTGCTCCATATTGGGTTATCCTAACTGGTTGGGGAATCTGTTTATCCAAGTTACTTTCCTCTTTAGGGGACAATAACGTTTTCCTGTCAACATTATATGCTCGTTTTCTTGCCTTCCTAATCTGAGAATGAGAATAACCACGCTCCCTAAATCTCTTATAGAGATCTTGTGCCTCTAGTTTGAAATCATTAATATTTGAGCAGTTTCTCCAACACCGTAGAAACTGTCCAATGGGTATCCCTGTAATCTACGAACGTGGATGATAGCTCCTTGCCTCAAGTAATGTATTGGCTGCAGTCAGTTTTATAAAAGTTTTGGTAACTAATCTACTGTTCTCAAGTCTGATATCAAGGTCCAGGAAGGAGATTTGCCATCTATCATGGACAGATGTAAGTTTAATATTCAATACACTATCGTTCAACTCTTCCATGAATGGGCTCAACTCCTCCAAGGACCCTCTCCAGACAAGGAGCACGTCATCAATGTATATCAGCCATATCTCTACATGAGTGAGAAACATACATGACCTATATACAAATTGTTCTTCCCAGTATCCAAGATGTAAACATGCATACGCTGGGGCCCAAGGTGATCCCATGCTTGTACCTCTTATCTGTTGACAAAAGCCATTATTAAACTGGAATAAATTATGATCCAAGGCAAAATCTAGTAGATCAATAATAAACTCATTCTGTCCACCCATCTCTGGATAGAAAATATCTAGAAAGTATTGAGCTGATCTCAAACCACATTCATGTGGGATAGACGTATAAAGTGATTCAACGTCCACCCCAACCAGAATGGAATTTTCTTCAATTTTTAAATCCTGTATCTTAGTTAATACATCTTTTGGTATCTCTTGCATAGGAGGATAAATTAGGAACCATATCTTTGAGCAAGAGATCAATATATTTTCCTGTTCTCTCAAGGGGGCCCTGGATCGCAGAAACTATTGGTCTCCCTGGTGGGTTAACTGGATCTTTATGAATTTTAGGAACTATATAGAAAATTTAATTCCTCAATCCTGAGTTCTCGTCCTCCTCGTCGTCCTCCTCCTCCGCCTCCTCGCCCCCCTCATGCAGAGTTAAGTTTTTTTTTTTTTCGTTTTTTTTTTTTTTACCAAAATAGAAAATTGATTGATATCTAGTTTGCGATATGTACTATGATCACTTAACTGACGTTTAACCTCCTTCACATAATTCTTTTCTTTCAGGATTACAACATTTCCACCCTTGTTGCTTTTTTTTAATAATAATATCCTTAGCTCCCTTTTAGATCCCTGAGCGCTTTTCTTTCTTTCTTAGTAAGATGATCACCCAAAGACATTTTCCACTCCAGGCATTTTAAATCTGCTGCTACAAGGTCCAGGAATGCTGCATTTCTTTTTACATATTTTTGGCATTTTTGTTGATCTAATTGTTAGGTCTACCTTTCTAATTGCATCTAAATGGCTAGTCTCTTCAAGATCTTCCTCATCACAAAGTCCTCCCTCTTCTGCCAGGGACATTAGCATTTCGAAAACCTTACTGTCCTCCATGGGTGTATCTGAATCCGTCTCGGTCTTTCATGTATCAATCTTATGAATATTTTCCTTAAACATAAATGAACATCTTTAAAGACTTCAAATTCATCCATGGCGGAGAAGGACATCCTTTATTAAGCAACATAATATGTTCCTGCTTAAGTGGGAAGTCCGTAGGGTTGATAACTTTTTTTTATCATGGGGATTACTCCCTGCTATCTTCTGTCTCCTTGCCCTGCCCTTGTCTTCCTGTTGCCTCCCTTTTACCTGTTCCTCTTTTCTTTTTTGAATACCTTTTGCCTATCTGGGATTGATCTCCCGGCGTTACATCCCCATTTCGTTGGTCTAAAAAAGATACTGATTTATTTAGTCTCTCTGAATTACTTTCACTAGATAAAGTTTCTCCAGTAAATCTAGGTAGCTAGGAGAGCACAAAACCTTGGTGATTTACTTATTCATTCAGACTACCAACCCATAAAACAATATACTTGGCTTACCTCACGTACCAAAGGGATGTTTAGCTGTGGAAGAAGTCAGATTTATAAATTTGTGGATCAGACAGATTTTCTGATTCTGATAATAAGGCCCAATATAAAATTCAAAGCCTCATAAACTGTTCTTCATCTAGAG